TCTGCTCGAGCTGGCGCCGGCCTCTCCGAGCTCCAGGCTCTACAGGGTTTAGGGTTTAGGGTACCTTATTGGGGTCCATATCATAAGGGAGTCCTACTATTTGGGGGTCCTTTCTAGGAGTCCCTGTTTTTCGTAAACCCCCTTAACAACCCAAAGCCTGAGCTGGAATCCTTAACAGCGTAGAGGTCCTAAACCCTAGACCTTTCAGACTTCCCCTCGATGCCCTGAAAGCCTAGGACCTAATCATGCAGACTTTTAAGAGCTTGGTCGTCGTTAACAGTGGCGGTAGGGTGTAGAGACCCTCGCCTGACAACAAAGCAACCGAAAGCCTCAGAGAACATTTCAGAACCCTTGAACTCTCTAAGCCCGTTTAAGCCCATGAAGATTTTGGGTTTAGGGTCTAAGGAAAACCCTGAAGTCAGATGGCCATCGGGAGAAGACAACCGTCCGATACACCAAAGGCTGGCGTTCATAAACCCCAAGCCCTCAACCCGTAACCCTAAACCCTAAACCCTGAGCCCCAAACCCTATAAAAACCCTAAACCCTACACCCTAAGCCCTCAACCCTTAACCCCAGTTGCTAGCTGCTGGTCGTGCCTGTAAAGGCAACCCCTGAGCGTCCGGCCTCCATGAGGCAGGACCTGGGCGCCTTGTGGGTCCCTTCCCCCCCCCAACCCCCTCTTGGGACTGGCAATTCTGAACGGTTGCAACTCTGTGTATGACATGTACATAGACACATTCATATACATACACACATATGCATTTCGTATATGATATGTATGTATGTATGCATGCATGCATGCATGTATGTATGTAAGTATGTACCTGCAGCAAATGTCTCATGCTGGTTCCATCCGCTCCCCTCTGCTTATCCACCCGCCCCCCCTACTTAAAGTCTCTTAAAACCGACGGACTTGGAAAGTGCTGTGCCCGATGGAGGGTGTCTTCTCGTAGTCTACTTTGCGTGAAGTCTACACCTGAACAACGTCAGTGCATTCCATCTCGTTTCGGGTACCGTCCTTGAATCCTGGTTCTGGGGTGCTCAGGGCTCGAAACTCGACTGTTGTGCAGAATCTGAGTGAGGGGTTACAGCAGGGAGGTTCAAGCTTTGCAGGGCCCCCACCTCTGTCGGTCAGGTTGCCGAATCGCGCATCGTGGCGCTCCTAGTTCTCTCTCTCTTTCTCTCTGTGTCTCTCTCTCGGTAGGTTTACTTGCGGTTCGGGGTTTAGGGTCTAGGCCCTGGGCTTGGGGTTTGGGTTTAGTTCTACAAGGCCAGGGTGAACATACCCCAAAGACCTAGAACCCCAAGCCGTGCGTCGCTGTCGTCAAGCCAGAGGCTTGTCTTTGGAACGAATGCCCAGACCGAACCCTCGACCCTGAACCCTGAACCCTAAACCCTAAATCCCTGAATCCCTGAATCCCTAAATCCCTAAATCCCTAAATCCCCAAATCCCTAAATCCCTAAATCCCTAAATCCCTAAATCCCCAAATCCCCCTAAAAAACCCTAAGGCCTAAGCCCTTCAAGCCGCTGAACGGCCTTCACCTCCCCTCTCGGTACATCTCCAGGCCCGCCCCGGCGCCAGCTCCCCGTCCTGCCTACCAGGGCCCAGGCGTGAGGGTTCAGGATTTAGGGTTTAGGGTTTAGGGTTTGGGGTTTAGGGTTTAGGGTTTAGGGCTTAGGGGTTCGGGGCTTAGGCATGCACTTGCGGCTGCAGGAGCTCAGGGGTCCAGGGTTCAGGGCTCAGGGTTTACAGCTTGGGCTGGAGCCGAAGGTAGATGATTGGGGTCTTGAGGGTTTTGGAGGTTTAGGGTTTAGGGTTTAGGGTTTGGGGTTTGGGGTTTGGGGTTTAGGGTTGGGTTTAGGGTTTATGCCCTAAACCCCGCAAGCCCAAACCCTAACAACTCGAGTTTGGGCAGTGCGTGAAAGAGCATGGGGAAACCTGCGTAGGGTGTAGGGTTCATCCACGCCTTTTCTGGCTGGATGGAGGCTTATTCGGGGTCGGGAGTGTGCGTTGGACTTGATGGAGAATTTTTGAGGTGATTAGATCTAATAGTTAGCCCTAAACCCTAAACCCTAAACCCTAAACCCTAAACCCTACACCCTAAACCCTAAACCCTAAACCCTAGCAGGGTGGGGTTGGACCGGTCTCATCACTCAGGTCTGAGGGTTTTGGGGGTCCCTGAACCCTGTACCCTAAACCACAACCCTATGGCCCTAAAGCCCCTACTGAACCCCCTAGACCCCATGACCCTTACAGAAGCGCAATAGGGGTCGATTTCGGCTGTCTCCACACGACCTCGGACAGAGAGGGGTTGACAAGGGAGCCGGGCCCCCCAAATGCAGTGCGAGGCCAACGTTCTGTAGCCACAGGTTATATTGGTTTTGTAGCTCTAAGTGAGATTGGGTTTAGGGTTTAGGGTTTAGGGTTTAGGGTTTAGGGTTTAGGGTTTAGGGTTTAGGGTTTAGGGTTTAGGGCTTAGGGTTTAGGGTTTAGGGCCCTGAAGTTGCGACTTAGGCTTCCAGTTCCCGAGCTGTAGTCAGCACAAGGGGGACCGAGCCTCCCCCCAAATCACAGGCGATGTCGTTCTTCCCGCTCCAGGCATGTGGGTTCCTGGCACGCCACACACGGATGTGATTGGATCTACGTCTTGGGAGTGCGGCATATCCTAAACTTTCAACCCCACGCCCCGCTTCCTAAACAAGAATTCGTCCCAGAAGGGCCCCATGATGTAGATCAACCCCCCCATTGCCTTCTCTAGCTGGAGCCCTCCATCCTGGCACTTCGGAATCCGGCGAAATCCCAAGCACACTCTCCTCAAACGCTCGTAGGTTCAGGGTTTAGGGTTTAGGGTTTAGGGTTTAGGGTTTAGGGTTTAGGGTTTAGGGTTTAGGGTTTAGGGTTTAGGAGGTTTACCTTTGGGATCGTCGAACGGGATACAAGCCAGAGCTGGCGTACTCGAGTACTCGACCACCAAGACTTTCAGTTATCAGCTCAGCCTGAAGCCCAAACTCGACTCCCCACGCCAAGCGTAAGACATCGAACACGTGCATTCGAGGTCAGGGAAAATGCATGGAAGAGTTGTGTGGAAGGAACTTCCTCAACCCCAAAACCCCAACCAACCCTAAGCCCTACACCCTGCGCGTTCTGCCATGGGGCTTTTGGTCTGTGAGGGGTGTCAGGGTTGAAGGTCGCGCCCTAACCCCCAAACCCCCAAACCCTAAGCCCTTTCCGTGCAGGGCCCCCTCGCGACCCGATCCTTCCCATCTGAATGTGAGATGCCGGGGGCGGACTCTCTCGTGTCTCACTCACCCTAACCTAAACCCTAAACCCCAAGCCCGAAACCTAAACCCGACACCCAAACCTGAAACTGTTGTTTGTCGGAAGCAGGGATTAGGACTTACGCCTGGGGTTGTGCGAGTTTTAAGGTATTCCCCAAAACAGGGGTGCGCCATTTTAGACACCAAATAGACTAGAATCCCCTCAAAGGGATCCCGAAAGTACCCTCTTTCCGGAAGCCCCAATACTTTCATGGGGGTTTACGAAAATAGGGCACCCCTAATGTGTAGACCCCAATTAGTAGGATTCTCTTTATAAAGAGGACCCCAATACGGAAACCCCCTCATGAAGGAAGAGGGGAACAAAGCCTTAGCGCTGCAGACCTCTCGATTATTTGCGGAAGCGCAAACAAAAAGCCCAAGACACGTAAAGCCCTGAAGCCCAAAACCCCCCAAACCCTTGAAGCCCCTAAGGGTTGAGGGTTTGGGGTTTAGGGTTTGGGGTTTAGGGTTTGGGGTTTAGGGTTGAGGTAAGACCCTTTTACCTCAAACCTCCAAAGCCCTAAGCCCCCAAGCCCTAGAGCCCCGCAAAAGCCCGAATTGCATGCAACGAGGGGGAAGCCTCGAGTGGTCTGTATGTATGTCCTAGGTAGGAGAGGGGGGACCCTAAAAAGGGAACCCTTCTTAACCCTCTTCTGGCTCTCTTAAACAGGGACCTTATTCAGAGGGTCTTTATCCCCAAGGGTCCCCCTAATCCTATCCCCTGGTATGAAGATACGTGTATGTGTTAGGGCTTTAGGGGTTTGGTTGAGGCTTTACGTCTTGTGGCTTGGCCAAGACCCGGGCCGTGCTGTTGGCTTTTGGGCTTCCGCATGTGGGTGTTTCGGGTTTGGGGTTTAGGGTTTAGGGTTTCGGGGTTTAGGGTTTAGGGGTTGAGTGAGGGCTCCTTGCCCAGGGACCCTACGCGGGGTGGCGCAGCAGTTTTGCTGGTTCGTCAAGGGGGTCAAGGGGCCGTCGAAGGGGCGGATCCCAACAATGAAGCCCTGATAAAGCAGAGGAACTTGGATGATACCCAGCTGTTTTCATGCCTTTGAAGACATGATGGTGGCGATGTCCTGGATATATCGTTGGTTCTGTCCAGTTCTACTCCGAAGCACAGATGCGATCGAAGCCGGCAGCGTTGCCCCTTCTGAGCATGCCGAAACAAATACAGACACGGTTTAGGGTTTAGGGTTTAGGGTTTAGGCAGGCATCCCCCGTCGGTTGGACGCCCAAAGCGCTCAAGTTCAAGTAAGGACGGCGACAAGCCACCGAGTGCTTGGAGTTTCGGGGAAAGTGTCAGAAGCCCGAACCCCTAAGCTTCAGGAAAGCCTGAGAAACTCTCAGTCTAGACTTCGCATGGTTCGGCACGCACTGTTAGCCCAGGTGGTTCTAAAGAAGCCCCCCGAAATCCTCTGGCGCGAAGGCGGCACACCAAAGCCCAAAGCCTTGCCTCCGCAGCTGTGACGGGCCTGAGCCGACACCATGAGGGTTGAAGGGGTTTTGGGTCACGGTTTTTAGGGGTCAGGGGTGTCAGGGAACAATGTCGTTGTTCAAGGGAGTTCTGAAGTTGACGGGTCGAGGGCAACTGCGAGAAGCAGCTGGATTCGCTCTCGCGCGGTGTGGAAAGTTTACTAAGTTTCAGGGTGTGTTCTGTGACAGGGGATCCTGCGGCCGTGAAACATGGCGGCTGCAGTGGAGACAGCCGAGAGTGATGCCAACAGGCGTTCGCACTCTCATCCCTTGTCGAGACTTCAGTCCCTCTGGGCGCAAGTGCAGCGATGTGCCACTTCCAGAGCCTCTGCCGTTCTGCTCTGGATCCTCAGCCTTGCGCATTGCACGGTGTACCTGCTGGGCCCCGGGATGTTCGGCCACTTGACGGACTTCGCCGTGTGGGTTTGGGCAACTGGGGGCCCCTTGATTCTGGGGACCGTTCTGGAGGTTGTGGCCCGCGTCTCAGCCGAAGGTGGACCTGTGTGGCGATGGCGGTCACTCGGACCCCAGTGTGGAAAAGTTTTTTTTTTTTTTTTAAACCTCTTAGGGCTCCTTCATGAACACCTGTAGTCGAAGCCATGGTGCAGATTCCTAGGTTTCTGGGCAGCTACAGAAACCTAAGGTCCTGGCGGCGGATGATGATCCCCCTGTACCACCAGCTAGAGGCGCTGGTGCTGGCTGTCATGATGTTCAGGCTGGCCATGAGCATCTACCTCCTCAACGTGGCCTTGCAAGGGGATCCTTTGCCGGTCTCCGTCTCAAACCAGGACAAGGCCACCGTCCTGGTGCTCTGCGGCTATCGCGCTCTCCGCACTTTTGGGGACTGGCGGGGGGTCTCCGTGCACCAGGCCCTGCACGAAAGGCGGAAGAAGGCGAGCATGAAGAAGCTCTGGATGGATGAGTTCCGCGATGCCTGGCAGGAGCACCGAGCACGGCCGGTGGTCAGGGCCCAGCAAGTCCTGAACAAGAAGTGGCTGCAGATGCTCTTCCTCCTCGCCTCCGTCACCTACTGCGTGGTGGAGTTCTTCGACTTTGTGGTTACGTCCGAGGTGCTGGGCTACGTGCTCCTCGTGGCACTTCTTGCCGAGTTCCTAGTACGTACGCGCGCACAGGGTGGGGAGCATTTCTTCCGACCTTTTCTCAACAAGATGGAGCCTTGGAACCTGTAGTTCAGCTCACTTGGATTTGGAAATTTTGGGGGTTGAGGGTTTAGGGTTTAGGGTTTAGGGGGTTTAGGGTTTAGGGTTTAGGGTGGTTCACTCCAAGCACAAGCTTGAAGATTCAAGAACCCCCCCCGCCCCAGCCCAAAGCCCTAGGAAGCCCAATGCCCTAAACCCTAAACCCTAAACCCTGAACCCTAAACCCCAAACCCCAAACCCTAAACCCTAAACCCCAAACCCCAAACCCTAAACCCTCAACCCTAAACCCTAAAACCAGTGAGCCTGGAAAGGAGTTCTGCGTCCTCATCGGCGGCGCTTGGTGCCTGTTCTATGCCACCTGGCCCCTTGGCTCTTTTGGGATTTAGGGTTGGGGTTTTAGGGTTTAGGGTTTAGGGTTTTGGGTTTTGGGTTTGGGGTTTGGGGTTTTAGGGTTTTAGGGTTTCGGAGATCGCGCTTCGAAGCAACCTGGGTTTAGGGTTTAGGGTTTAGGGTTGAGGCTTTAAGCTACGAACATGAGAGCGTAGATTTCTATGAGGGGCTTAGGGGCACTGGACACCGAAGTTGGATTCTGCTTGCGCTTTTGCGCTGAACCCTAAACACTAAACCCTAGACCCTCAACCCTCAACCCTCAACCCTCAACCCTCAACCCTCAACCCTCAACCCTCAACCCTCAACCCTAAACCCTAAACCCTAAACCCTAAACCCTAAACCCTAAACCCTAAACCCTAAACCCTAAACCCTGGCCAAGGTACACGCAGTACTTGGTTTCATCGAAGGGTGAGGCCACCGCTTTTGCGACGGCTACGGCGGTGCTTCTGCTCCTGCATCGGCTCATACGGCTACTGGGAATCCAGCTGCTTGGCTACGGTTTTAGGGTTTAGGGTTTAGGGTTTAGGGTTTTAAGGTCGAGGTTGTTTTTTCTTCCATGTATGGATGGCAGCACCAGTTTTTGGTTGTGGAAGCTGCGTGGCAGGCGCTTGCAACTTGCAAGACGGGGTCAGGGTGTAGGTATGGTTTTTTTTGGACCCCACAGGTGTAAGGGCTTAGGTTCAGGCGTTAAGGCCGTGGGATTCCCTTCATGTGACCTGCGCAGGGCTCACAAGTTTAGCCAAGGTTGAGCATCTCTGCAAGCGAGTTCGATGCCGACAGCGTTGCAAACTCCGTAGCGATGCAGGCCACGCGCACCTGCGAGCCCCGAAACCCGAAACGCGCCGAAGAGCCCGTAGAAACCCCAAAGCCCACAGCCGGAAAAACTTCCCTGCACCCCAAAAAGCCCTAAACCACACAGATACCCCCCTCAACCCTCAACCCTAAGCCCTAAGCCCTAAACCCCAAACCCCAAACCCTAAACCCCAAACCTTAAACCCCAAACCCTAAACCCCAAACCCTAAACCCCAAGCCCTAAACCCCAAACCCTAAACCCCAAACCCTAAACCCCAAACCCTGAACCCTAAACACCCTAACAAAGGCCTTCATGGCCAGCCTGGGCTCCTTCGTGGACGTGCCGCCGACGAACATCAAAGTGGACCTCCCGGGCTCCGTGATACACATCCAGCACCTGGGCTGCAGTTAGGTTTTGGGTTGGGGTTAGGGTTAGGGTTTAGGGTTTAGGGTTTAGGGTTTAGGGTTTAGGGTTTAGGGTTTAGGGTTTAGGGTTTAGGGCTTAAGGTTTAGGGTTTAGGGTTTAGGGCTTAGGGTTCTCGGCTTTTTGAGACTTGAAGGGTTTAGGGGCTTGAGGGTTTCACGGAATATAAGCATGAGCTACTAGAAAGAATGTTACATTGAAACCAAATCATAAGATCATCAGATCATAAGATCATGAGATCATGAAATCATACTACCATAGGAACATAATAACATAGTATCATAATATCACAATATCACAATATCAGACTATCAGAATATCAGAATGTCAGAATATCAGAATATCATAGTATCATAATATCATAATATCATAATATCATAATATCATTACATCATAATATCATAATATCCTAGTATTATAAGTCGTCATCTCAGAGTATCATAATTCATAGTTTCAGAGTATCACGGCCCCAAGCTCCGAAGTAGCTCCAGGAAGGCGAGCCTCAAGAGCGAAGTCTTCGAAGGTCTTCACCTGCCCCTGACGGTGCCTTGCCGGCCCTGGGTTTTGGAGCAGGATTCGTGGTTCAAGGGTTCAGGGTTTATAAGGTTCGGGGCTGTAGGGTTTAGGGTTTAGAGGGTTTGGGGTTTTGGGTTTTGGGTTTAGGGTTTAGGGTTTAGGGTTTAGAGGGTTCAGGAGTGATTTCTGGAAAGTCAGGGAGTACATTGAGGGCCATGTGGGGTTCCCGACGTTCAGAGTTCAGTTACGGCTCCCCTCGGGTTTCGGTGACGTTTAGGGACCTCTTGTAGCCTCAGGGCGGGGGCATGTTCGGAGACTTGCAGGCAACCCTTGAGGAGTTCAACCTTGTGTTCAAGTCTGGATCCCTTGATGTAGGGAGTAGGGTTGGAATCTTGGGGATGTTCCGCCGTACACTCACAGTCCTTAAGGTGGTTTTACAGTACCCCCCCCCCCCCTCCCCCAGTATAATTCCTCTTAAGGACTGTTAGTATTAAGAGTTTTATGGTACCCCCCCGCCCCCCCACCCCAGTATAATTCCTCTTAAGGACTGTTACTGTAGTACCAGGGGGAGCATCCCAATGTGAATCCTTGAAGGCAGCTTCGACACCAGCCTGAACCTAAGCCCTAAAACAGGTCTCCACCCTAAACCCTAAACCCTAAACCCTAAACGCTAAACCCTAAACCCTAAACCCTAAACCCTCAACCCTAAACCCTAAACCCTAAACCCTAAACCCTAAACCCTAAACCCTAAACCCTAAACCCATGTTGGTGAGGTGGTGGGCGCTCTTGTGGAAGACCTCTACGTGGACCTTTCCAGGGACAACATGAAGGCCCCGATGCCCCCCAGTTTGTGGGACTTCTTTGGCCTGTTCTGGAACATCCTAGGAGTAATTAGGCATCTTTTTGTTTTGGTTTAGGGTTTAGGGTTTAGGGTTTAGGGTTTAGGGTTTAGGGTTTAGGGTTTAGTGTTTAGGGTTTAGGGATAATTAGGCCTTTTCTTTTTTTGGTTGGTTTTTGGTTTTTAACGTTCTTAGGCTTTGGGGACTTAGGCTTCAGGGTGCGAAGCCACCCTAAAGCCTAGAATGCCGGACAGAATGCAGCCATGACTGGGAGTTGTGTGCAGGGCTTTTGGGTCGAACCCCGAGCCCAAATAATTAAAAAGGGACCCCTGCGCTGTGCTTTGTGTGAGTCAGGGTTGAGGGACCCAAAGCCCAAAGCCCTAAAAGCCCAAGGCCCCTAAAGCCCCAAAACCGTGAGGGCCTCGAGCCCTTAAAGCCATAAACCCTGAAATCCTAAAGCCCTTCGAAAGCACCTCCTCTAACTCCTGATTTCGGCTTCGGGTTTATCGACGCTTTCCTTCCTGCTAGGTGCCTTTTTTTTTTTTTGGGGGGGGGGGGTGGGGAGTAGGAGCGCTCTCATGCACGTACACTGCCTGAACCGTAAGACTTGAACACTGATCCCTAAACCCCAAACCCTCAGCCCCAAACCCCAAACCCTAAACCCGAAACCCCAAACCCCAAACCCTAAACCCGAAACCCGAAACCCCAAACCCTAAACTCCGAGTGATCCCTTCGGATGAAGGAGACAGGGAGGCTGACTTTTGCGTCGCGTGCGCGCGGCCGCACCCGCGTCCGCGTCGCTGGGCTTCAGGGTCCTGGGACCCGCCCTAAGCCCTCAACCCCAGGGTCAAGGGTTTAGGGTTTAGGGTTAGGGTTTAGGGTTTAGGGTTTAGGGTTTAGGGTTTAGGGTTTAGGGTTTAGGGTTTAGGGTTTAGGGTTTAGGGTTTAGGGTTTAGGGTTTAGGGTTTAGGGTTTAGGGTTTAGGGTTTAGGGTTTAGGGTTTAAGATTCAGGGTTTAGGGTTTAGGGTTTAGGGTTGAGGGTTGAGGGTTGAGGGTTTAGAGTTTAGGGTTCAGGGTTTAGGGTTTAGGGTTTAGAGGTTCGGGTGTAGGGCTTACAGTTTAGGGTCTAGGGGTTGCGGTTTGGGGCTTAAGGCTTTTCTTTTTTGGGGTGAGTTTTTGTGGGCGCAAGGTTTCTTACCGGGTTCCGAGCTTCCGGAACAAAAGGTCTTGGCCTCCTTTGATTTTGAGGATCTGTGGGTTGAATAATCTGAGTGACCCTGAGCCCTTAGCCCCTTGAGCTCTAAACCCCCAAAAACGCCAAACCCTCAACCCCTAATTACCCCCACCCTAAATAAACCCCAAACCCTAAGCCCCAAACCCTAAACCCTAAACCCCAAACCCGAAACCCTAAACCCTAAACCCCAAATCCTAAACCCTAAACCCCAGGTAAAGAACCTGCTGCTGGTCCTGGGACCTGGCCCCGGCCTGGCGAGCTCACCGGAGACTTCCCTAGCCTCTATTGGGTCAACAGGGTTTAGGGTTTAGGGTTTAGGGCATAGGGTTTAGGGGTATTGGGTTTAGGGTTTAGGGGTTAGGGATGTTGGGTTCATTGGGGATATTGGGGGTTTCCGAAATGAGGGGTATGCTTGGGGTTTAGGGGTACGTTGTTGGGGTCCTTACTTTCAGGGGATCCTACTCGAATGCTAAGGGCCCCTGATTTTCGTAAACCCCCATATGGTCATAGGGTTTTCATGCGGTCTTTAGTAGGGTTGTATAGGGGCTGCTACTTGCTTAAGGACACCGCAAAGAACCAAACGGGAATAATCCCTCCATTGCCCTTATAAGGAAGAATCATACTATTTCTTGGGTGGTTTTCCAGCAAATAGTACGTAGCAAGGTTTATAGGGCTTTCAGGGTTCAGGATGGCCTCGCTCGGGATTCGGGTTGATGAGGGCCGATTCGATCAGAATGGGTATCTGGGGTTGTTTGTGCTATCTGTACACTGTGGGGATGATGGAGAAACTTGGACAATCTCTCAGCTCCCGTATGGGTCTAGGGGTTATGCAGGAAAAGCCAGAGTGGTTAACTTGGTTAACTTTGTTATTCACTGCTGTTCTCGGCCTTGGAGCGTGCGAGAGTTGCCGTTTACCAATCAATCTCTCAAGGGTTCAGGTGGTCACATGCCACGGGCCTTAAGTGGTATGAAAAGCCCTCCCCAGTAAATGATTGATGCCATCAATCATCTGGCTCCATTCCCCCATTATGGGTCTGTGTGATGTGATCGATTTCGGGAGGGGGAGGGGGAACCCCCCCCCCTCCCCGTCGCGTAGACCCCTCGACCTCCCCACTCGCTTGCTTGTTGGACAAGTCCTTAAATGATCGTGTTTGAACGTCCAACTCTAGCACTTCAGCGCAAAACCGGCCCGTGTCCAGCTTTCGTAGCCACAGTCTCAAGTTGTCTTTCTGTTGGCCAAACCGAGAACCCTTCCTGGGACGTTCCTGAGACCCCTAGACCCTAGACCCTAAACCCTAAACCCTAAACCCTAAACCCTAAACCCTAAACCCTAAACCCTAGGAACCCTGTGACCCAGTGTTGGAGCCCCAAGGAGAAGGCTGGCCACTGGCAGTACGAGATTCTGGGCTGGCGTTCGTGGCTGGTTCAGGGGGTTTAAGGTCGAGGTTCTCGGGTTTAGGGTTTGCTTAGTACAGCACTTATATAAATAAATATAAAAATAAATATGTGTATATATATATATATGTATATATGTATATATATATATATATGTATGTTATTTATTGGGGTATCGGGCATTCGCTTAGATTTAGGTCTTGGGGTTCCAGGCCGCGGGTCTGAGGGCAGATGCCACTGGACTTGGCATGTGGGATTCGTGCGCACTATGTTTTAAACACCAGTTTGCTTCATTTTATAAAGATAGGAAGGACTGCTTGCAGGTTCATGCTTATAAGTACGCGCGAACTTCCGAGTGAGTTCCACATCGTCGTGGCATCCATGCAGCTTTCGCAGTTTCCGAGCACACGCAAGCACCAAGACATGTATGTGTATACATATATATATATAGACATGTATGTGTATACATACATATATATATATATATGTATGCATATATATATATACACATACAGAAGAGGAGGCTGTGGGGCCTGCGTTTTGGCAGACCCCACTTTCTATAGCTTTTCGAGCACTTGCGAGTACAGGAACTATTTGCTGACGGTATTCTCGTTTTCCCGGGGCTTGCGCTCAGGGTTTGTTAAAGTGTCGTGTTTTTTCTCCGCTTTGGGTTTCGGTGCGTGCTTTTAAATCTGGCTTGTGTTTGTTAACATCGCATGTGTTTATAAACAGCCTGTGTTTATAAACATATCCTATGCTTTCTGGGAGGCCCCCCCCCCTCCCCCCCCCCCGCGCTCTGCCGCTCCGGATTTTTCAGGGCTTATCTCTAAAATTTCTATCGGTTTTCAAAGAGAAGCCACGAAACCCTATAGGGTTTCAGCCTTGAAGCCTTTAGGGTTTAGGGTTAAACCTTAAACCCTAAACCTTTCCCCTATACGGTTGCAAGGTTAAGCAACTAA